GTATCTTATATAATATATAGTATCTTATATAATATATTTGTTGTTGTTTGGTTGTTAAGTCGTGTCCGACTCTTTGTGACCTCATGAAACATATTGCACCAGGCCTTCCAGTCCTTCACTGCCTCCCTGAGTATATAATATATATAATATTATATAAGATATATAAGATATAAGGATAGTCCACAGTTAAAAGACCCACAATATTGCGCTTGCCAACTTTTATCTTTATTTTTTATGTTTTACAGTATAGCGAGTTGGGCGACATACAAGTTTAATGAATTATTTTTATTATTACTAAAAGCCCACAATAAAAATTATAGCGTAAAAGGCATAAAAACAGAGCACACTTAACCATTTAATAATGATAAAGGCAGCATGGGTAATACTCATGCTGGCTGTGATTCTGAGACTTGTAGTCCCAATCCATTTGAAGGACATTTAGTTGAGGATGGTTAGCTTTGGATATGCTAAATGAGTGCTCTGATTTTCCTTGCTTTCTGTCTCCTACCCTCTCTCAATTGGATAAGTTGTACAGGCAGCTGAATATCTACCCTGCATCTTGCAACTTCCCCTGGATCTTCTCTGCCATTTGCTGGCTTGATCATTCCAGCTTGAACTGCAATTTGTATGATTTGGCCGATTTACGCTTCCCAGGGGCGTCTTTTTAAAAACGAGCAAGAAAGTGCCCTTGCAGAAACAATCCTCAGAGTGTGCTTTGCTGTGCCGCCACCTCCTCCTCCTCCTCCTCCTCCTCCTCTTTTTTGGCTTTGTCACTATACATGAAGTTTGCTGCTGTTGTGCTGATGTGTTTCCAGCGTGGTAGTTAATGAAAAAAAGTGAACCAGATCAAAGCAGCATATGCCATTCTTGCAGTCATAGCCAGACGCACTGCTGCTGCTTTTGAAATTGGCAGGCACAGCCTTATCTGAGTGGGAGTGTGACTGCTTTGGTCACTGTCTGCCAGCAGAGGCTGTTCTTCTTTGCCAGAGGGGAAACAGCTTGCAAGGAGATGCCGAAGCAGCATCCTTACTGCATTGCAGGGCATGAAAATGTTTTTTCTCCATGGCTGTGCTCCCTCCCTGGCTTCTGTCTCCATTGCACATGCTGTTTATTGGCTTATCCAAGGCTGCTGGTGGTTAATGCTAAGAGTATGCTGGCTTGCACTGAAGGGAGATTCATGTGGTCTCTGTTATTTGGAGCCAACCTGATACTTTGCAGTTTGATGTCTGCATGACACTCTGGGAATAAATAATAGGTTTTACCTTTCTCTAACAAAATAGCTATCATGATGAACGAAGGGCTCATGATGAAAGGCCAGGTACATTCCCACAAAATCCAGCATCTAGTAAGCAGATTGCAGATTTCTGTAGAGTCCTTGCCAGTGAGGGCCATGCTGCCCAGAAATATAGAGCAATTTTTACATTTATTGCAGTAATATCCATTATGTTTAGCAGATGACTTTCTGACCATTCCTATGGCTTGATGTTATACCAATGAGCTTTTGGCTTCCATGCTCCTGGCCACATATCCATGCTTTGCAGTTCTGGTTTGGAGAACTGAAGCAAATTACTGTTTGCTGATTTTGGAGTTTGAGATACAAATACACTATGACTAGTTTCACGCCCCGCCCTGGTTTGCTTAAGCAGTATTTGCTAAAAAAAATCAGTACAGCCATACAATACACTAAAACCAAACTCAAACCAATCCAAACCAATCAAATCATGTTATGGCTTAATGCACATTTGTTATGAGCCATGGTTTGCATGGTCATGGTTAATTGAATAAAGTTGAATAAACCACAGATTCACATGATACATAAAACCATAAATGGCTCAGCTCACATAGTGTATTGAGCTAAACAGATCATCTTATGGTTTAGTATAATGTGCAAACACAACACTATATCAAAGTTAAATGGGGAGGAGTAAATATGCAATCATGCAGAGCTTATGTAACACCCAGCGGTGGCTTATATGTTGCATATATGCTTGGCTGATAGATACTTTTGGGGCAAAAGTATTGAGAAGTTTTCTGCCCATACTGACCTCAACTGTTGAGGCACCATGCTAGGTCGTCCCCATTTCTTGTTCATTTTTGAATGTGAAGGAATGTTGGAAAAGAGTTTTATACAAATCTCTTACCATTTTGTCTGACTTGTCAAATATGCTTTCAATTCCTGTTCTAATAGTGAAATGTTTTCCTTAACACAATGAAGGAGAGGCTGGCTCAAATGCCTTGGGAATTCTTCAAGATTGCCAAATTAGACAAACTTCACATGACAATAAACTATCACAGAGAAGACAGCATGATCGGAAGTGAAAAGTAAATCTACAGTGTGAGGCTGGCTTGCTGAAAATAAAAGCCTCATAAATTTGGCTTTTAAAGCACTTAGCAGATTGCTGCTTGTTTTGGCACAACTTATTCTTCCCTCAGAGTACTTTGAAATGACTCCTACGCAGGAATAGATGTGAAAAGAGTTAATGTTGGAATGGAAGCCCCTTGCGGATTTTCTGGAAGAAATTGTGATTGGATTATTAAATTTCTGGCCAATCCTTGCCTGCTAGTCTTCCCTCAAAAATCACAAGAGTTTTAAGCATAACTGAACTGGCTTTTAGCTGAGGTTTGGAGCTTTAGAAATGAGAACCAAGACCAGTATTTGTCTTTCTTCTGTAGAAGTAGTCTGCAAAACTTCTGGCCTTTCTGGATGCTTCAGACATGGATGCCTAGAAGCAAATATGAAAAATCCACCAGTCCTACCTAGTACCAGGTCTCCTCATGTAGAGTAAACTCATCAGCCTCTAGACTGGGGCCCTAAAAAAAAAGAGGCAGGACCACATGTTATGTCATGCCATATTGGCCTTTAATCTTGGTCTATTCTTGAATTTGTGCCATTTTGTAACATGCCACTGTGTCCTAGTTTGGTTTTATGTAGTATCTTTAATATACTTGTACGTAGACTTTTAGCAAGGGGTATTTTGAAAAATTAAAGATTTAAATAAAAAAGTGTTCTTCTTTTACCTTGAGCAGCAAGTGGTTTGGAGATGCACTTCTGAAACTGGCACTTGAAAATAAATTTCTTAGAGCATAATAAGGTGGCCTTACCTTTGCATCCACACCTGAGCAGTTCCATTACTAATTTTTAGTTATTCTTCCATTAATGCTTTATTGATGCTCAATTTCTATGACTGCCATTCATTGATATATGGCTGCATGCCAGCAAGCAGACTTGCAGGTAAAATTCCTTGTAGTCTAGCAGATAGTTTGACTGATGAAGCTGGTCATGGTCTCCATCATTTCTATTCTGTTCCCAGGTGATAATCAGAAATGGTAGATTAGGTAAGTGATTGCCTTTCTGGACTGACTTGATTATAAATTTTATTCTTCCTGCTTGCTTCTTTAGGTTTTCCGCATAGCAGTCAGGCGTGCGGATGGATGCAGAAGGATTTGGCGAGCTTCTGCAGCAGGCAGAACAGCTTGCAGCAGAGACAGAAGGTATTGCGGAGCTTCCTCATGTTGAACGCAATCTCCAGGAGATCCAACAGGCAGGGGAGCGTTTGCGTTCCCGGACACTAACCCGTACCTCACAAGAAACAGCAGATGTCAAGGCGTAAGTCCCTGGGTTGCTTGAAACATCTACCAATGGCTGCTAGAGTTGCATTGCTGGGGAGTAAACCCCAGTGGATATACTCTGCTTGCATTATGATGCATAGAGTTCTGCTGCAGGATGGCATAAAGATTTTCAGCTTCATCATGAAAAGACTTGTGCTGTCTGGCTTCTACTGCAACTGGATGGAAATGGCCTTTTGAAAGTCACCAAATTCATGTGCAGAAAAATTTTATGGAGGAGTTTTCCAGTGGAAACAAAAAGTCCCCACCCACTTCTCAAAGGGAGACTTTGTCTTCAGTACTGGTTCTGAAAAAGGCCAGTAAGAAGATGTCATTGGCCCTGTTTGATCTCTTCTTTGGGGATTTGATGGAAGTGTAGGAAGTCAGGGACGTTGCATACTACCAGGGAAGGGACAGTAGAGTTAAATGGAGGGCTCTCCCCACAACAACATACATACCCATCAGACTCATCCTTTTTGGGGTAAGTAATGGTATGTGAAGTGCAGGAAAAGTGTAAGATATAATGAACAAAAGAAAGTAAAAGCAAGTGATAAGAGAAAAGAATACTGAATCTAGTTTATAGCATGGCACAGCAGTTAAAGTGTTGGACTGGCATTGGGGAAACTCAGATTCAAGTCTGCCCTCAGTTATGGAAGTTCCTTGGGTGACTTGGGGCCAGTTCCTCTTTCTTAACCCAGGCTGCTTCACAGGGTGGCTGTTGTGGGGAAAGAGAGAAGGAAGGACTAACAATGAAAAAGCAAGTTATAAACCAACCAAATAAATAATAAATACTTATCTTAACTTTTCTGTCCTTATAAGACATCCTTGTTTCCATCACAGCAGACTCCACATCCTATATTGACTTTTGTTCTTCAGAGTTCTCACCTCTTCTTTTTTCTCTTCAACTCCATCAACCACAGCTTTTTTGGTTTTATTCTTCCTCTCAGTCCATTCACTATTTCATACTGTATATATTTTTGCAATTGAATCCTCATTCATTCTTTATGACCAAGCTACCTCAATGTACTTCTTTCACACTGAGTACCCACTTTTGCATTCAATCCATCACCCATTCATTCTTGAACACATCTCTTCTTGTTTTACCATATATATTTCTTAAGTACACTGCTGTGTTCAACTTACTGTTATGTTTTTCCTGTCATCCCCAACTCTCATTTCCATAAAATTATTACTATTTATCTCAGTTTATATCCCCTTTTCCTGCCTGTAAGGCATTCATTGGAGAAAGACCACCAAATTTCTCCCATGAGAATTTCTTGAAAATTCTCTCCTCCATTGAAATAATTTCTAAAGCAGATTTTCTTTCATCAGATTGAATGAGAATGGCTAGAAGAAAAATGCCAGAGAAAATAGCTGTTGATACATTGAAGGGCATATGGTGTCAAATTCAAATGTGGTCACTTTTTTTTTGGAACATGTGCAGGATGTCAGTCAGCAGATATTGAAAAGTCTATCAACACTGTTCTCCTTGATTGATGGTTTTGTTGCTTGATGGACCATTTGTCCAAAAGTTGTTCCATGTTTATTTCAATCCACGTTTTGTAGAGGTGTTAAGAGAGATCAAAAGCTAGTGGTATACTGATCAGGTCTCTGGAATTATATTGTATTTTGATAGAAATGGCTGTGTTGCCTTGTTCTAGTATCTGTGCCTTTCATCCTCTGTTTTCATCTGTCTTCCAGATCAGTTCTTCTTGGGTCCAGAGGCCTTGATATATCCCACATATCTCAGCGCTTGGAGAGCCTTAGTGCTGCAACAACATTTGAACCTCTAGAGCCTGTAAAAGACACAGATATACAGGTTAGGGCCATGTAATAACAAAAGCTATGTTCACTTAATCAAAGAAGCACATGTATTTGGCAATGCTTTATATATGTACTGTGTGCACTAGGAAATATTCACATTTTCTCGTTCAGAGAAAGAATGCAAGGGATGGGGAGAAGGCCCTCATTTGCTAATAATTGTTCAAGAGTAAAGGCTTGCATTCTGTATTTCATGTTTAAGTGTCTTGATGCTGGAATACTCTTCTGTGCATGTAATTGTTTTCAGTGGAGGCACTGTTGGAAGACTATTCTATACATCAGCTTGTTTACTCACTAAAATAGCTGGTACATATTCAAAGGACAACACTGCAGTAATCTCAGTTTGTAGAGGATAGACTTTCTGTGTTTACTTTTCTTATTTTCTCTAGCTGAATTTTAAGGGAAGGGCTCTAACTCAGTAATAAACTGCATACTTCCTTACAATATATCCTGAGTTTGATCCCTGGGAACACTGAGAAAGAATTCTGTCTGCGACCCAGTATATTTGTTCTTGTTCAGCAACTGGCTTACTTATTTCATTGCCTCACAGCGTGCCTTCTTTTGTTTGGAAAGAAGCGAAACTAGCTCTAGTGCTTTGTGAACTACAGGTTATGGGGTAATATGATTTGTGTGGTGCAAAAAAAAAAATTGAATTTGATGGATGATTGGTTTAACTTAATCTTAGGCAGTATCCTGCATTCCTCTGTTCTGCTATGGCAATCCAGTTCCCTCTCCTTAATTTTCAACATAAAATCTGAGTATTTCATGGACTGAATTTTGAATATGACTAAAGCACAACCTATTCTGCTTGTAACATTATGTTCCTTGCTTTGTTGAATCTGATTTTTTTTCCTTTTCCTATCTATCCCAGTGCTGTATAATGGTAGGTGAGGTAGTTTTATCAGTTGGGATTCTACCCTTTCAGTGAAAGATGAGCAGTGTCATATCCAGGACATCCTTGCTTATTTTTGCTTTCCTACATATCAGCAGTGCACAGCCTTGTTTTAAAAATTTAATACAATTACATTATATTTTTCCTTATGTAGTTAATTATTTCACCTTCAGTCATGTTTAGAATTTCTACATTCTAGAAATTGACAAAATTTTTGTGAGATTCTGAGAGTGCAGTTTCAGCTTCGAAGGCTGCAATTTATGTACTTTTGCTAACTGAACAAGAACTTGAACCCATAAATAATACCTACAGTGGGGCAAAAAAGTATTTAGTCAGCCACTAATTGTGCAAGTTCTCCCACTTAAAAAGATGAGAGAGGCCTGTAATTTTCATCATAGGTGAATTTCATCAACTATGAGAGACAAAATGGGGGGAAAAAATCCAGAAAATCACATTGTCTGATTTTTAAAGAATTTATTTGCAAATCATGGTGGAAAATAAGTATTTGGTCAATATCAAAAGTTCATCTCAATA